CCTCCAGCCTTTCTTTTCCACTTGATTTCTTTGTTTCTATTCATTATTATACAAGTTTGGTAGAGCTGTGAGCAAAGAATCAGTTCCATGTTTTGCCTCTTGGCTTGTGGCTGGCCATGTTCAGGTCACGGGGCATTGTCCCTATTTATATGCCTGTGTCCAAATTTCCCCTTTTCATGAGAACTCTAGTTCTGTTGCAGTAGGGCCTACTGTAATGGCCTCATTTTAATGATTATTTCTGCTAAAAAACCTATAGTCAAATAAAGTAACCTTGTGAAGCATTGGGGCATAGAATTTCAACGCTATGAATTATGGGAGGGCACAATTTAGTCTCTAACACCTACACACATAATAATGCCAATCTATTCCATAAATTCATATATTCACGTAACAATGGTACTAAGTGCCTGTTACAAAGTGTACACTGTTCTGGGCACTGGCAGGAACGTCAATAGCCCATGGTTTTGGTTAGCCAGTTCCTTGCTTCCTCTGCCTAGAACACAACCAAGCCTCACTCACCTGCTTTCCTATGCCTGATAACTTCCTACTTACCTTCAGAACTCACCAATAAGCCTATTTTATAAGACCAAAAGGTCCCCATTAAAATTTTTTTTCCTCCTTCTTTCGTCTCAATATCCTTATTTCTTCACAGAACTGGTTACACTCTGTAGCACTGTATCGCACGCAGGTATTGAAAAACTGTACATTCCCTGGCTTGATGTTAAGATCACTGAGGGCAAACACTGTGCCCTCAATGTTCAGCTTACATCAGCCGCAGTAGGCAAAGGGCCTGCACTTACTAAATGCTTCATAAATATTTATTTAATAAGTGATCACAGCAGGACTTCAGGATGTTCAATTAGGCAAGACCTGAGAGGTCAAATGGGAAGGAAGGGCACCTAAGACAGAGAGACCAGAAAGACAGCTATCACCAAAGTCAACACATGAAGTAACAAAGACCTGTACTGCAGAAGGGAAATAGACTGAAAGAAAAGGAGCCCTGAAGAAACTTGAGAGTGGATGGTTGACTATGCATGGGAAGTAAATAAAAAATTAACAAATCGACAGGGTAACTGTGTGATATAATACCAACAGTGTTAATACAACAGTAAAGGTATATTAAGATAACATTTACTGCTATTAAGAGATTAACCACCCCCAGTAGGAACTGAACTCACGGCCTTTGTACTGGGCTATGGCCCCAGCCCTCTTTTATATTAACACAAGGTCTTGCTAAGTCACTAAGTTGCCCTGGTTGGGTTTAAACTTGCAATCCTTTTGCCTCAGCATCCTAGAGTGCTGGGATTATAGAAGTGCACCACCATGCCTGGCTTAAACCTGAAATTTAAGTGGCTTAACAAAAAGATTTTCCCTGTCAAACATCAAATTGACATAGATGATCCAGATGGGCCGGTGGTTCTCTTCCAAGAATGACTTAGGGGTATAAGCAAGCATCTTTCACCTGGAATGGCCCACCTTCAAGACCATCTGCTTACGGAGAAATACAGATGTAAGATTTTTGTAGTTAGGATACAGAAAATACAACCGCTGCTCATTCTCCATTGGCTAGATCTCAGTCATATGACCCAGCTAACTCCAACGAAAGCTGGGAAACATAGTCCAGCTAGGTATGCAGGAAGAAAAGAAAATGTGTTTGGTATATTTGTTTTGGTCTCTTCTGCTACAGTTCAGGCATTTGGAAATTTCAAGGAATGAAGGTAGAGGGAAAATATATTCAGTTTGTAGTCTGAATATACAGAAAATATATTCAGTTAGAAGAGAATGTATTGAGTCATTTCTTCTAAAACAACTGAGAAAGCTGAACCATAGTCAAAACATTCATTTGCATTTCTTTGAACTTGATAGTCATGTTATGGTCAAAAAGTCTGTATTTTTAATATTATCTGCTGTGTAGCTCTGTTAATGATCTATCTTTCATACATAAGCCAAAATATTCTATTATCAATAGAACGGTTTGTTGTACAAATTTTATCAATTACGGGTAGAAATACTTGTAAATTTAGTAATACTGTTTTCACTGGCTTTACAATCACTTTTTTAAAAGTATAGGTTGATGTAATAAATCCTAAGTCCACAGTCTTGCTGGCAGAAGGCTATGGTGGATATTTATAGTGCATGTTTATAAATGTGTCTCTCCTGTCTGTTTTTCTAAGCACAGTTCTTACTTTGGCCTAAATTCTGCCTCTGCTGGTCATTATGTGATAGGTATCCACAGCACCGGTTATGTCCTTAGGCCGAATGAAACAGACCACCTCACTCATTCCTGGTCCCTTAGCTAACTTACTCAGGTCCCATTAACTGACATCAAAGTCAAGTTTATGAGAGAACAACACCAACAATCTAAATCCCAGTAGTATGGAGGTGAATGAAAAAGCTCCCAAATCACTATTTCTCTCAAATGTTAAATAATTCACTGTGGCATTTAGGTACAAGCCTCCAGCAGAAGTTATACTTGAACAATTAATGAAGCAGAGGCCAAACAAAAGACTTCAGGGCAGAGAAATAAATTAATGACTTCTCAAAGTACTATATAACAAATGACCTTTTCACATTAACAAGTGTGTAAAACACTCAAACACACAAGTCACTTACTATTAGATCAACTTTGATGGCAGAAAATAGCCTGACACTATTGACAGAATTATACTCTATAAGTATTTGTGGATTTCACACATTTGAATATGAAACCTGCTTAGTTTATTTGGAAAGTTTTTATATTCATAATGTATACCTACACCCAAAGTCCTTCTACTCGGATTGCTCACATTACAAAAACCATCTACCAAACATAGGAAGGATCAGAAGCAATGCCGCTGTTTCTCAGATAAGAAATTAAACATATATAGTAACATCATAGTATATAGCATGTACAGATACTAACTCCTGAGTTGTAAATGTCTGCATAAAAATAGGACATTAATCCCCAAACCTCGCAGCTAGAGGATTTTAAGACAAATTTTAACTTCAGCAATGGCTATCTCTTCTGCAAAATTAGGATGGTTTACTTATGCAGCAAATAAATATCAAACACCAATTATGTATCAAGTAGTACTTTCCAAAGGTTATTAAAATAAAATACAGCTGGCATTCATTATGTATGTGTAGTTACCCAAATTACATGCAGATGATTGACAAGATGGGGCCAGAGTCAGTAGGCTGAAAAATCAATGAAATTCCTAACTGGAAACAGAGATACATGGGATATAAGATCAGGTGAGGTTCACTTGCTTTCTAGGGACTAAGCGGGTATTAGTATTCACTCTGGATTTTCTCAAATAATCTCAACTGAACTTAACTGTAAGTTTCCTACAAAATCTATATGGTAAGGGTTTGTATTCTAGTTCAATAGCTTGGGGGAAAGATGTATTCCGACTAACGATTTTCCAAGTTGCATTCCCATGATAAGTTTTTAAAGACATTCTTACAAGAAGAAGACTTTTTTTGTATATTAATTTAATAGCTAGTCAAATTTACACGAGAAATAAATTCTTTGGAAGATATAGAAAGATGAAAAGACACGTGAGATTTGAAAAGAGAAGAGATTCAAGTTAGAGCCTCACCTTTCCCCATTTACTAGCTGTATTGCCTGAGAAGTCTCAAGGTTTTGGGAACTCAGTTTTGTCAAGAGTAAAATAACAACTCCCACCTATGGCGTTATAAAGATCAAATGAGATAACTGTCATGAAAAATGAGTAGTAACCCAAATATAGAACACATATAAATTACAGGATGAGTAGGAACTGAAAACGATCCCAAGATAGTCCTTCGGGTGAAGATGCTTGTATGGCTAATCGGTAAAAGGTCTACAAAGAGACAGAGACTAGAGGAGTGATCTGGGGCCGTGACAGCAACCGTCTTTGCTTGCTTGTTAATGAGGAAAGATCACCAGACCTTATAGCTGATGAGCAAGAGTCATATCCAAATATTATAGAAAAAACAAATATTTATTGATAAGACTGCTAAGAATAAAAAAGATTAAGATAGTTGTTCCTAATTTCTCACAGTTCATTAAAAAGAAAGGTTTGTGTTAATATAGCTTAGATAATTAAATGCCTATATCTTGTATTCTGAGTAACTAATTTAAAAATAACAATACACAATGTATTAACCATTGTTACTTTCCTATTATCTTGTTTTGAAATTTTGTTTTATTTTTTCTCTTTAAAATAAAATTTAAAAAAATTAAAATGTGGGTTGATTTTTCAAGTAAATCAATAAATTTCATCAGCCATAAGTCAGTCTCTAGAAATCCTTCTTTCTATGAGCAAAACTTCCTTATCATCATGTTTTTAGGGTGGGTGTAATTTCACATGCCAAAGTCCACCTGCAGATTGTTACTTCTACCCCGTGCCAAGCATATTGCTAGGACTAAATAAAATTATTGCTGATATACTATAACTAAAAATATATGCAGTGATTTTTTAAAAATAAAACTGAAAATTTTAAGTTCATTTCATATGAAGGAAAAATGAGTAATGTATACTTATGCACTTACAAATTTACATTTTTTAATTAGTACATGTTTGCAGTACATGATGATATTGTGGAAAGTTGGTACATATAAATAATACAGCATAATACTATTTTTCTTTATCTCCTACCCCACCCCTCTTTCTCTGTTCCTTCCAACTCTCAGTCTTCTGCCCAAGTAGAAATGAAAGTATTTGACACAGATGTATGGGCAAATTTATGAGAGGATGCATGGACTCTCAGACTTACTAAGAAATGGAAAAGTCTGTTTTCAAAAATCAACAGTATATTTTAACCTATCATGGAATCAGAAAATGATAAAGAACTGAACAGTGATTCCCACTGACCACTGGATAGTAAGAGACCAATGTAAAGAGCAATGACAGGGCTGGGGCTGTAGTTCAGTGGTAGAGTGCTTGCCTACCACGCACAAGGCCTTGAGTTCAATACCCAGTACCATTAAAAAAAAAAAAAAAAAAGAGCAGGGTCACGGGCTAATTTCCTCTTACCATGAGTAGATCCCACTGACCATGTCGTAGTTCTGGCATGCAGTGTCCATGTTGCTGGGCCCAGCCGCTTTAGAGATCAGCAGCACCACCAAGCCCCTCAGTTGCAGGTTATGCCGGCTCTCATGTACAAACCCCCTGCCAATGGGTAAAGAAAGAAGAACTTAATAAAGTTAGAAATTAGTAAAGAAGAACTTGATAAAGAACTTAATAAAGTTCATAGGATCATGCAGCTCAAGTTAGAAAACTACCAAACTATGCCTAAAGTCCTATAACTGGACAACAGAGTTTACTAAAAAGAAATAGGGTTGAGGGGAAGACCGAGTTAATGTGAGGAAGTGGTAACTTCAGGTGACAACGAAAGGAGCCCACTGCTGGGGTCTTAAAGTGACCCTTGTGTTTTGAGGCTTGATGATCTGGTTCCTCCTGAGTCTTCTCTCTCCACTGTCTATATCCTATTTTGTAACCATTCATTTATTCATTCATTCAGTGATGCTGAGGGCCTTGTAAAGGCAAGCACTCTACCAGTGAGCTACCTCTCTATCTTTTACCTTGTAATCTTAATTATTTCTTCCGATAAGTGGAAGCCATAGTTTTAAACTGCTTTGTGGTAGTTGATAGTAACTGAAATCAAAGTTGTAAGTCTTGGATGAAATGTTGTATTTGATGATGGTGGCGGCAAGGGAGAGTGGTAAAAATACTGTCTTCATAGGTAGAAAAGCTGAGAAGGAAGAATTAAACTAAAGATTTTAAAATGCATTCAAGTAAATGGAAATGAATGCCACCAACAAAAATCTTATCATTCCCTATTACTTATGGAAAGCAGTAACAGAAATAAAGGCTTCGATTGAGAACATCTTTATTTTTTTTAAAGGATTGAACTATGATTTTTCCTATAACTGAGGCAAGACATACTTTAAAAAGAACATGTTTTCTTTTTATTTATTTATTTTTATGGAGAGAGAGTCTCTCTATGTATTCCAGGCTGACCTTGAACTCACTATGTAGCCCAGGCTGGCAGTCAATTTGCAGTGATCCTCCTGCCTCAGCCTCCTGAGTGCTGGGATTACAAGCATGTACCACCACACCCAGCCATATTTTCTTTTTAAAGTATTGTAAATGGTTGTAACACAAGAACTAAATGGCATCATTAAATAGCTCAAAATAAAAAATGGAAAGGTCTGGAAATGTAGGTCAGTGTGGAATCTCTGGGTTCAGGCCCCAGTACTAGAAAAAAACAAAAAAACCCAAACAAAGGGGGTGGGCAAAGAAAGGGAGAAAAAACAAAGTAAGAAAAACTAAGCCAGCTGTGGTGGCACACACCTGTAATCCCAGTACTCAGGAGGCTGAGGCAGGAGGATTGCCAGAAGTTCGAGGCCAGCCGGGGCTACATAGTAAATTCAAGGCCAGTCTGAACTACACGAGATACTGTCTCAAAAAAACCCAAAAGACTACATGATAGCATAAGTAAAAAATATGTAAGTTTAGTTCTTTAATGTGGTAAAAAAGCAAAATTAGAATTAGTATGGTAATACTTTATTGAATTAGTAAGACTTCATTGAGCTACATCCCCAGTCTTTTTATTTATTTTTTAATCCTCAGCCTTTTTTTTTTAAATTGCTTTGCGACAACGTCTTGCTAAGTCACTCAGTTGCCAAGGCTGGGCTTAACCTGGCAATTCTCCTGCTTCAGCCTTTCAGAATGCTGGGAAAGTAGATGCTTGCTGCCATACTCAGCTTCAGTATAAGTTAATTAAATTAGCATTATTTAATGAGCTAATCCATTAATTAAGAAATGAACTAATCCATTACTTAAAAAAAATCTTTGCACACCAAACAACATACCAACAGAGTGGGGAAAAATTTTAATAGCTATTCCTCAGACAGAGAACTAGTAGCTAGAATATATAAAAACTAAAAAAAAAAAAAAAAAAAAAAAAAATCAGACTCCTGCACAGATTTAAAGACCCAATCCAAAAATGGGCATCTGAATTGAACAGATGAAGAAGTACAAATGACAACTCACTACATGAAAAAACGTTCAACATCATTACAATTTGAGAAATGTAAATTCAACCACTCTGGGATTCCATCTCACCCCAGGAAGAACGGCTGTCATCAAGAAATCAACCAACAACAAATGCTGGTGAGGCTGTGGGAAAAAAAAGAACCGCTCTCTACTTTTGGTGGGAGCAAAAATTGGTACAACCAATATGGAAATCAGTACAAGATTCCTCAAAAAACTGACCCAGCTATTCACCTCCTAGATATCTTCCCCAAAGTGCTAAACGCGTCACACCACAGCAATACATGCCACTCATGTTTATGGCAGCACAATTGTAATAGTTAAATCTTGGAAACAGCCCTGATGCCCATCATTGGATGAATGGATAAAGAAAATGTAGTTTTTATATATAGTGGAGTACTACTCTGCCATAAAGAAGGATAGACTTGAGACATTTTTAGGTAAATGGATGCATCTTGAGACCATACCATTAAGTGAAGTAAATCAGACATGCATGTTTAAATGTCACATTTTTCTCTTACATGAGAAACCAAAATGCACCTGAGTACCAAAATGTATAACAGATATTGGGAAATGGGAAAAAAATGTTCAAGTTAACAGGGGAACAAGGGAGAGGGTAAGGGAAATGGAAGGAAGGGAAAAGGAAAAAAAAGAGTAGAAAGGAAAAAGGTGAGCTAGGCGGGGCCGCTATTTTATTTTAAAGGGTTCAGGGCAAACCCCAGCAGCAGAACAGTCCTGGGTCACTTCACTGTCAATGTCTGGGAGTGAAATGAGGGAAGAACCATCCAGTCACAGTAGACTGCTGGCAGTTGGGAAGCAGCCTGGGGGATTCTGCTGAGAGGTAGGAGCTGGGACCATCCAGACCCTGCTCCAATGGCCACCAAAAGCCAGTCTTAGCCCTAAATACAAAGGATTGGATGGTTCCCCTGGTCTGTGACCAGAAGAGTAGCTTTGGCCCAGTAGAGCAAGCAGGAAAACAGCCTTGGTCTATGGTGAGACAGGTACTCCTCCCACCCAACAACCAATGTGTGAGAGGAGTTAGTGGTGTGGAACAAAGAAAGCTGTGGAAGGTCCAGAAGATGCCAACTGTATACAGGTCTAGGAACAACCCCAGGCTTTTCCAGGGGGTGCCACAGCAACTGGGAAAACACTGTAGAGAAAATCATGGTAAGGCGAGGTGGACATCTAGAACACTGTCAACTCAAGACCAGTCCTAGCCCCCACATCCAGAGGCCAAGACTAGCCCCATATCCAGCACAAATCCTATTGTAAACTTGACAGGGTTACATAGCACATTTCTGGGATCTGACTTGAACACTAACACAGAACTGTGGACAGGAGAGGAATTTTATTATTTTTCTTTTTCTTTGTTATTGGTTTTCCTTTTTCTGTCTGGTTGGAGTTGTTGTTTTTTGTTTGTTTGTTTGTTTTTGCGATTTAGATTTCTTACCTTAATTTTTGTTTTGCTCTATTTGTCTTCTTTTTCTCTTCCCTCAACTATCTCTCTTGATTTTTATGATATTTACATGTGAGAGAACACTGTCTCTGCTCCAGGCTTGTGTCAATATTCTCTTGCTTTGTTTTTCATTCTTTCTCTCCTTCACTCTTCCCCAGTTTTCTAAAACTTGGGTGATCATCCTTTGCCCTCTAGCCTTGCTTCTAACATTCAATTAGGAGGAAACTCATTGCATACAAGTTCCTGGTATAGGTTGGATTTTATCTACATCTATATCTACATCTATATCTATATGGCTTACTCTTATGGTTAACAGTTATCACAGTTTGTCAGCTGCTAGGCTGTGCCTGATGCTATTATTATTGCTAATTGTATAACTTTAGCCAGGATGTCATACCTGTTATAATCAGTTTTCTTCCTTCATATGACAGCACTGTGGTCTGGGGTTATAACCATTACAATATTTCAGTACCAAGGACTGGGTGCTAGCTCAAATACATAGTAACTTCTGATCCTTAATAAATTGGGAAGGTAGGTACTTGGGATAGACACAAAGACCAAGAACCACCTACACCTAGAAAACATCTCTGAGGAATAGACATTTTCTAGGGAAACTTTGAAACTAGTGATAAAGCTACCATAAAAAAAATCTAATAAAAAATAGAAAATGACAAGACAGAGAAGCAAAATGCAGCCCAAGACCTCCAGCCTACCCAGGATGAGTCCAGAGGATAATGAGATACAGGAAATCAGAAGCCACAAACTGGAACTTGCCAAAATGCTAGGAGCAGAAGTGGAAAATCAAATGGATGAGGCTATAGAAAAAATAATCTCTCAGATAAAAATTACATGATGATTGAAATGAAAGACATGCTCAATGAATCTAGAGTAGTCACAGATAAAAAAATAGAGGAGCTTAGAAAAACAATAGAAATCATAAATGGCGAACATAGGAAAGAAATGGAACCCATGAAACAGATCAAGCAGATATCTAGGAGAATAAAAATTCCAATGAAAGTATACACAACAGATTGAATGAAGGTGAGGATAGAATATCAGATCTAGAAGACAGGATTGTGGCTAGTGACTAAGAAAAGAAAAATATCTTAAAAATAGCAAAAGACCACAAAATATCAATGCAGCAGCCGCAAAATGAAACAAAGAAGAACAACATAAGATTGATGGGAGTCAATGAGAAAGCCTGAGATAGCACAAATGCCATAAAAAACCTCTTCAAAGAAGGAATGGCAGAAAACTACCCAAACATGGATAAAGAATTTGACATACAAATGAGTGAGGCATACAGAACTGCAAATATTCATGGCTGAAATAAATCTACACCAAGGCATATAATAAGATTCAAGAAATCCAGCACAAGAACAGAATATTAAACACAGTTTGAGAAGAGACACATCATCTATAAAGGAAAGCCCATCAGAATCACAGCAGACTTCTCAACACAAACTCTCAAGTCAACCTAGAGTGAAGTATTCCAATCCCTAAAAGAAAACAACTAGGGCAGGGGGCCAGGGATATAGCTCAGTGGCACTGCACCTGCCTGGCAAGGGTGAGTTCCTGAGTTCAATTCCTGATACCAAAAACAAACAACAACAACAACAACAACAACAGCAAAAACAAAATAAAACAAAAACAACCT